GGGGGGGGGGGAGGAGATCGAGAGTCGGGGAGGGGAGGTTGCGCGGGAGCGGGAGCAGAGTCATGACGACGACGAAGAAGAAGAAGAAGATAAGAAGAAGAAAACAACGAAGAGAAAGAAGAAGAAGAAGATAATTGGAAGAAGAAGAGGAAGAAAAAAAAAAAATAAAAAAAAAATCGTCGGTTACTTATCTGCGTGGAGGTAGCAAGAACGATAACGAGGATGGCACGGCGCGGCGACGTGGCACGACGACGACGATCGCGACGGTGACGATGATGACATGGCACGATGATGACGATGATGACGCGGCACGACGACGACGATCACGACGATGACGTGGCACTACGATGACGATCACGATGATGATGCTGATGATGGCCAGGTGGTGACGACAAAGCAGGGTGGGTCGGGCGGGTTTGAAACACTCTGATACCAGTGTGACGAGCGTGAGGCTGAGGGAGAGCTGAGGGAGAGGAGATAGAGAGGGAGAGAGTGAGAGCACACACACACTCACTCACCCGGCACGACTGACGGTCGGACACAGACACAGTGGGAAGGGCACAAAGTCGAAGTCTTGGATTCCGAATGCCCAAACAGCAAGTGACACTGAGTACGAGTACAGGAGCTGAAAACTGGTACGAGACTGGTCCCCGTACTGTACGGGGGACGGGTATAAGTACCGGTGAGCGGTACGGTACCAGGGGCAGTTCCGCAAAAGCCCCGAGGGCAAAACTAAAAAATGTGGTATTTGAAAGTGGCGCCCGAATTGCAGCATGGTGCCAGTTGTCCAAAATCCGACGGTACCGAAGGAGGGGTTTGGACAAAAGGGTGCCAGGCCGAAAACGGGATGCAGCAGAAAACAGCAAAAAGACCAGGGATCGAGCCCTGGCAGAGTCCGTAACACCAATGACATCCGTTGAAGAAAGCGGACAACAAATCCCTACTCCAACCGCCGTTGAGAAAGGAGGTTGCCTCTCAATTGCTCGCTGGTTGCACACGGTCGCAGCTCCGATACCAAATGTTATTTACCCGATTGAACTTCCATCCACAACGAATTCACACGTTCCCATACACACATGCAATTACAGAGTAGACTCGGAGGAGGCAAATCCACACAAAACCGAAGAGAGAATATGCACAGCGGAAGCTCAAAACACACACAGAATTGAAAAACGAATTTCAATTCCGCAGTCCCTCGTCCTCCTCCAATCAATCTAGAGTACTTGTTCCGAGAATCACAACTGCGTTTACAACAACCCCAAACAACCAGAAACAAGTGTTCAACGAAGCATGCAGGAGTCTTCTTCCTCCTTCCCACCTCTTACTCCTGGCTATGGCTGCCGCAGCAGCAATAACCCCACAGCTGTCACAACGTGCCAATCTGAACCAGCAACCCCAATGATTACAGCGCCAGCTGAGCACCCGCACGGAAGTGCAGCGCTGGAAGTCCTGATGAAGAAGGAGACAACCGATCCAGCATTTCGAAGAAGACAAAGTTCCTCGAGAGGGGGAACAGCAGATATGGCTGCCAAGTGGAAGATGGCAGAACCCAAACCCAACAACACAGTCCTGTGGAAGCTCTCATGCAGAACTGTGAAATAGCAGCAGTGCGATCTTCAACTTCGTTTCCCAACCCCAGCTATGGCTGGGCTTCGAGGAAGAAGATGACCTTGCCCGAAATAGAGCAGCACCGCTCCAGCAACGGACAGGCAGAGTTTCCCGAGCCAACGAAACGTGAAAAGACCTACACCAAATTTCCTACCCACTACTTCTACACTCCGCTAGACCTAAGACCGCCTCGCCAAAGCAACAACCCAAGACCTATCTGTATCTAGATGGGAACAGGGGAAAAGGAGGCCTAGACCTATGACAAGGCAAAAGAAAAAGGCCGAATGGCCTAGGACTACCAAACAAAGACTACTAGTGACAGACGCAGGGATAAAGTCCCATAGGGCTCAAAACTAACAAACAAAACACATACAAAGTACAGGTCACGGGATAAAGTCCCGCCAGGCTCAAAACAAGAAATAAACTACAAAACCAAACACTTAGTGTACAGCCCCACTGGGGAACTGCGATTTATTGCAGATGGCATCTCATGACACTCTCCTCCTTCCTCATCCCCTGCCCCTACCAGCCAAAGTATGCCTCTGACCACCCCTGGCTATTTTCTGCCTCCGTTGGGATATACTCTTGCTATGGTAATCATCATAGCTTCGTGTGGCACTGGATAAACAAAAAACGCCACCAGAATCTGGCACACAATTTCTGCAGAGATTCGATGATGCCAGAGGGTGGACATTTGTGAACAATCCTCTCTCTTTTTCATGAAATTCAACGGAAGCTCACAAAAATTGCCCCTTTCGTGGAAATAAATCTCTGACAACGTTTCAGAAACCATGTTTGTAACGCAGCCCACGTTTGCTGAATGGTACACATGCAACTGTGTTTTTTTTTTTTTTTTTGTATTAATTTGGACCATTTCTCGATTTATGCAATGCATGGTCTAGGTCACGGGTAGCAACTCAACAACTTGATGTATCCCCGGACCAAGTAGGGAGCACGGGCAATGAGCGGCGGGCGCTTGTAAAACAACCCGGCTATGCCCAATTACCGGTACTGACCGGCATGCAACCGAAGACTCTATGGAACGCAGTGAGGAGTTGTAGAGGGTAGTAGGGTTCACCAACTGTATAATGCAAGGGCAACATAGTAGTTATGCCCAAAAACCGATGCAATCGGTGAGGAACCAGAGTGCGTAGTAGTTATACCCAAAAACCGATGCAATCAGTGAGGAACCAGTCTACGTTTTGAGAGTGATCCTTCATATCGGTGGGCACGATGTCTTGTTTGCGTTGTTAAATAATTTGTGTGGTCTGTGCTGGCTGACCTAGCCGGTTGCCCACCGGATGTTAGGAGAATTGTAGTGACAGAAGTGGGAAGGGAATTAGTTTGTCGGATCCTGATTTAGATCAGGATTAGTATAACTGTAGAGGACTGTTAAGTGTTGAGGCGTAGGTCTAAGTGGTGAGGAGGCGGAGTCATTTGCCTATGCTTACCCTCGCCTTGGATGACTACCCGATGTTTGGCTTTTTGGCCCTGTTCGTTATATGGCCCCCCCTCGTCCGTTTCCTCTTTCCATTGGGATTTGCGCGGACCTTTGGCATGCATGTGACGAGTCGGTCGGAAGCATACACACAACCATACTGCGCTGAACAGCAGGCCGAGATCGATAGAAAGGTGGTGGAGAAGAAGGAGGAGGAGGAGAAAAAGGAGGAAAAGAGGAAGAAGAAAGAGGAGGAGAACAATATTGGAGAAGGATAAAAAAAACTTGGAGAAGAAGTCAAAACTGCAGGAGAAACAGAAACAGCAGGTTGAAGTAGAAGAAGAAGAAGAAGAAGAAGATGAAGAAGAAGAAGAAGAAGAAGAAGAGGAAGAGGAGGTGAGGCTGGACGACCCCAGGCATAGGGTTGAAGGAGGTGTGCGGACCCGAAATGGGAGACTCCAGTCAACTACATTTCTACCCAGTTGACACCCAAACGTGGATGGAGAAATTCAGGTTTAGAAAGGATTTGTGGGCAGAGGAGTCAGAGGTCGAGAGGGCTGAACTCACAACAAAGTTGGAAGCGTCAGAGGATGATGCTGAGAGGGTACTGCTGATGCAGGAAAGGGAACATGAATTGCACCAATGACTCCTGATAAAGAAAAGGGCAGAGCTGGAGGAGAAGAGGAGATTGAAAGTTGAA